AGGGGAAATGCAAGTGATGCCAAGGATGTGCAAATAAAATAAAATAAAAAGTTAATGGATTAGATGTTATGGTGCAAAATTGCATTCACTAAAACTTCTTAAAATCCATGGGAATCGTATTGATAAATTGGTCTCTAAAGTCATCACATGTATTAACTTAATGTCATTTTAAAGCTTAGTTTCATAGTCTATCATTCTTCCCACAATGAACCAATCTATGCTTCCTTCCATTTGTTAAAGAATTTTTTAACCTAAGAAACACAATTGATGATAAAGTTGTATAGTTAGTCTCCTTAGCTCTACTCCAATGAGTTTGCATTTGTTACCATTTTTTTCATCATTAAAAACATTTATTATTCTTTTAGAGTCCATTAATTCAAGGTCTACTCCATCTGCAGATTCTCCTCTAAATAATGTTCTCGTAGAACACAAATTAAGAGAAACAACACTCCTAATACAAAAAAGCTAGATGACCAAATATACTTATTTCTATCACAATCAACTTAAACATCAATGACATTTCTTTCAGCCCAACATTTGGATGCATGCATCACAAGCATAATAATTCTTTTTTTTTAAATTTATCTTAAACATTTGTGATGTTCTCTTATCATAAAAAACTCTCTAGGTATTTGTCCTTTTTAACCATCCATTTTCCGCATTAGAAGTTATATCATCGATATCTTTACTCTTTTGTTTAATAGATCCAAACTTAAAACCTAATTTTTTCTTCTAACGATATTTGTTGACATCATACCACTAAAATTACATAATATATTTTCAATATTTATGTAATTATTCTAAGTTTTTCTCTTAAAAATTTTTACCACTATTTTTTTAAATTATTTAAGTGAATATTTATCAATTAAAATGATATAATTTGTGAATAGATCATACATTAGGGTAACTGTCTTTGAATATCTTTATTAGTATCTTCATAACCTGTAACAAAGTATTGGCTCAATATTGATATTTGTTCATTAAAAATTCTTTGATTTCTTCCACACTATTTTTAATAGTATTTAGTGCTCAATCATCCATTTCATTAATGACATTAGCATATCTTCAACACTCTTTTCTATTTTAAAGCAGACCAAATCAATTATTGTGGCACTCGATTATATAATTTCTTAAAATCAACAAAAATCATATGAATATTATTTCTTTGTTTTCTATGCATCTTCATTAATTAGTTAATACAAAAAGAGCTTTATAGTTGATATTTCTAGCATGAAATCATATGGTTTCTCCAAAATTATTGTAATTTTTAAAGCCTATATTTCATTATTCTCTCTCATAGTTTCAGGGTACTACTTACGAATTTGAATCCTATATAATTAGCATATTCTTGAACAACATAATTGTTTTTACATCTTTATTAAAAATCTTATTCTCCTATCCTTTGACTTATTTTTAACTTTTAAATTCTTAAATATTTAGTAACCAAATCATTGCATTATCCTCCATAATTATTCAAATTTCATTATGCGACTCATTTAAATCAGAGGTGATGTTTTAAACAGCTTTTTAGATCCAACTCTAAGCCTTTTTTTTTTAAATAATATACTTCATTCTATTGTTCGTTATGCTCTTTCAAAATACTTTCTTCCTTAAAACTCTCATTAGTAATTCTTAAAGTAAATTTTTATTTTTTATATTTTTATCTTTAACCAAGATCTTATTATCTTTGCTTTTAATGCATCTAAATTAATCATATTTTTTAGATCTCTTATGTCTTATCTTAGTTATTTTATATATCTTCTATTTTCCTTCATTAGTATTAAGCCTTTAATATAAATCATCAATAGCTTTTGTTTTTGCTTTTCTTCTCTATTTACAAGACTATAGCTTATTTATAATTATCATAAGTCTTGATAATACTTAACTTTTACTACTAATAAACCTTAATACCTCTTCATTCCACAAAGTGTTCTTATTAATTTATGATGTATTTCTTGACTCCAACAATTTTTTTTTATCAATTCTTTTAATGAAACAAGCCATCTTATCCCATATTAGGTTTGGATCACCTAAAGAATTCTAATTTGCCTCTCTTAACAATATATCTTAGGAAGATTTACATTCATGCCACTCAATTCCTATGTATTTACATATATAACTCCTAAATTTCAATTTTTACATATATGTCACTTTACCTATGCATGAAAAGGTGTATTTCATTTTTTTAAAGCTAAATAATTGTATTTTTTGTGTTATGAAAGATTTGAGTGGTATGAGTGTAAATATCAAAGTTTAGGTGTTAGTTATGTAAATGTATAAGAATTATGTGGTATGTTTGTGAATGCCCATATATCTTAGAAGATTAATAATTTGTCAACTTTTAAATTCCACCACTTTATTTTATGGTCAAAATTTTTTATTCTTTTTAGCGGATATGTTATTTTCTTTCCTATCAACTTTTTTCCAATGGTCACATAATTTAAACTATTATCTATTATGGCTTGCACAACATTTTCTCTCCTATTTCGATTGCCTTATTTGAGTTATTAAACAATAGCATGACAATTTAACATAATACAACTATTGGAAACTTTAAAGACCATATGCTAACATGGATACTAAATAGAAAAGTAGGTAAGCTTTGTGATGCGGAGCTTGGGTCCCAGAACCGGTTAGTGGGGGGGCGGGGGTGCTGAGCTGGACCCAATCCTACTTAGGGTTGAGGGGAGGGGTTTCTCCCTCCTAGTCATCCTTATTATAAATATGCTGCTTTCTGTGTTATGATTTAGTTTTTTGGTTGATATTTTTGTTTGGACAGCTTCCAATGTCCCCCTTCTCCCTTATTAGGTTGTATCTGACGACAAAAAAGTGCTCCAATGGTAACTCTTCCTGAGGTGGTGTGTATACTTCCCCTTTTCCTTGGCTTGCTTGCTACCATCTCACATGTGTTGATCTTTTCTCCTGTTTCCCTGTTTTGCCCAGCCATATGCCCAAATTCACTGTTGCTGCTGCCATCGCCACCAAACACCCCACGCACCCCTTGCGGCTATCATACGATCTCCAGTGACTCCCTGCTATAGCTCCTAACCCGCCAATCCTCCTACACGTACACTGAGCTGACGCTCCTGGCCTTCCTACTAACAACGCCTACCATATACACCCTCCCAGCCTACCACTATTCATCTCAGCCTCTATTCCCACTATCCATTACCAATCCCATCGCGCCCTGGCCAGAGAATTGCATTTTGTTGTGTTTTCGTTCCTGATTTGAGTCTTGAGTGTAACCTTGATTGCTTTTGAGTAATAATATTTGTTTCCCTTATTGTGGTTTGAGTTAACTCCAGTATCAATTGGTATCAGAGCTAGCACAACCCTAGTTCTATTATATGGTTTCCTGGCATACGCCATATCTCAAAACATCTCCACCAATTTTTTTTCTTTTTCATCACCAAATACCCTTTCCACTCTCATAAATCCCAAACCTTAATCATGTCACCAAGAAGATACAAGCCCGAGTCTACCCAAAAAGAGATACAACGAGAGCTCCAGTTGTCTTCAACAGAGACTTGCGAAGATTGATAAGGGAACCCATGGGGAGATTAACGTCGATTGTGACATGGAGAGTTCAATGGGAGAAAAGAACGAGGTTCTGAGTCCCTTCCATGGAGATGACTTCAGTGATGAGGAAGACTGATACCGACGCTTTGGACTTCAGTATCAGAAGAGGCCGAGCGAGGAGGCTACATATGGAGGACACAGACAAGGACTTCAAAATAAGGTGGATCTACCAGAGTTCGATAGAGGTGTGGATCCATATGACTTTATTGAATGACTACAATAAGTTGAGAGGATCTGAACTGCCAGAAGATAAAAAGTGTAAAATTTGTAACCATCAAATTAAGGAAGAGCTTCTCCTTGTGGTGGGAAAACTTGCAGAGGCATAGAAGGAAAAAAGATACTGAAAAGATTACCAAGTGGGTGAACCTGAAGAAGGCGATGTAGAGATGCTTTGACAAGATACTGAAAAGATTACTCAGGAGGAGCTTGGGACTTAAATTGGCCAAACCGATTTAATGGGGAGGCTGAACTGGACCCGACCCTCCTCAGGGGAAGACTAATGGGTTAGGCTTGTTTAATTATTGGAAAGAAGATCAGAGGCCTATTGAGATGTCGCTTGAACTTTCCACAAAATGTGATGCTTTGACAATCGAGGGATGTGGTTGTGATGTAGGAAGGATAGTGATGCTTTTATAAGATATGGGAGGGAGATTCCAGGGGCTTTTTTTTTTAACGACCAGTAAAGAGGATTGGAGAAACTGATTCTTAAGCTATAACTCCTTGTTGGCTTAGGTAGCTTGTTAATATATGCCATCACTGCCTGTCCGAAGCTTGAGTGGATAAGGCTAAGGTTGATGTCAAGCGGCTTTATCTATCAATGATGTAGCTCACTTTACATTTGTCTTTTGGGAAAATGTATTTTTATTTATTTTTTTCTTCATTCATGCAATTTGAACTTCATTTTTTTTCCAACTTATTAACAACATATTTTGTTGTTTTGTCTCTGAAGCCCAGAGGCAAAGAAAATACTCTTTTATGGTTGACTTGCCTTCTTTCGGATATGTTTTGTCAGCTTTGCTTTTCAAACCTTAACCACATTGGCGTTGGCTAACAGCCTTAAAGTGTGTTCTGAAAAGTTTTCTATCCAGAACAACTTTACATGATTGAGCTCATCATTTTACATTCTAACCATATTGTTATGTTTTGTGTTTTCACAAACAACTACTTTTCCTACATCAACTGCTTAAACAACTTTACAAACAGTTGCATTAGCCCCAAACGATCCCTTAAACATGGCTGTTTTTCTGCTTGTAAAATTCTAGTACAAAATTGGTAGCTTTAGCTCTTTCTATTTCATTTTTTGGTTCTTCAATGAATTATTGAGAGATTTCATTTGAATTAATTTGCGTATGAGTGACTCATCGATGATTTTGTTTCAACATCTTACAATATTAGACATTGATGTTTGAAATTTGCGTCAGTTATGGATTCTATGATGAATGCTTGCGAAAATATGGAAATGCAAATGTTTGGAAGTACTTCACAGATCTGTTTGATTATCTTCCGCTTACAGCACTGATTGAGAATCAGGTTTGCTCTTGATATCAATTTTATCTTTCCTTTATATTGTTTCTTATGCACATTTTTTTATTTGGTGTAGATTTTCTGCTTGCATGGCGGATTGTCTCCATCCTTGGACACCTTAGACAATATCCGGGCCTTGGATCGAATACAAGAGGTGTGTCACTTAGTAATGTCTATATCAAGTGCAAAGTTAAAAGTGGCATGCATCTGGGAAGTTTGTCATTTAATTAGTTCTATTTGATGGAAGTGTCAAAACTGTCCCCTGACTTATTCAATACAAGCATTTTAGTCCCAAAATTTACAAAAGTGTCAATTTAATCTTCATATTCTTTTAATATGAGGTTAGAACGGTCCCCAACGAGGACTATTTTAGCTCCCACTGAAATATTCTGAGGACTAATTTAACACTTCTATAAACTTTAGGACTAAAATGACCTAGGAAGGACTAATCCCGTGCCATATGAGCATTTGGAAGAAAAAAAAAATGTGTATATCTTATCTAAAGGACCTTTTGAGATTACTTTTGATTTTTTTTTCTATTTTTTATTTTTATTTTATTTTGTTTATATTTTTAATTGAAATAAAACATATTTGGTAAGTTGTAACATATTTATTTTTTATTTTATTTTATTTTTATTTAGTTTTTTTTTTCTCTTGAACAGAAGATTTTTACTAGCATATGGCATACTTATATTCCATCATCCTTAGAGAAAAATACTGTGTTTCCTGAACTGGTTATTATCCATAACTGATAGATGTTGTTGGCATCATTGACATGTTTTTGGAAGATTTACATGATACTCAATTCTTATGTATTTACATATCGAACACCTAAAGTTCAATTTTTACATATATCCCACCTTATCTATGCATGTAAAGGTGTATTTCACTTTTTAAAAGTTAAAATAGTGGTATGAATATAAAAAATTAAAGTTTAGTAGTTAGATATGTAAATACATAAGAGTTGGATGGTATGTATGTAAATGCCCCTATCTTTTTCATATCTAACTTGCTTTTTTGGGTTGCAGGTCCCACACGAAGGACCTATGTGTGATCTTCTATGGTCTGATCCAGATGATCGATGTGGCTGGGGAATATCTCCGAGGGGTGCTGGATACACATTTGGTCAGGACGTTTCGCAACAGTTCAATCACAAGAACGGTTTGTCACTTATATCGAGAGCTCACCAGTTGGTCATGGAAGGCTATAATTGGTCTCAGGTAAGCTTCGATGGAATGCAAATCTGCTAATACCATGTTAATCAGTTTAATTTTTGAAACTTCTTAAATAACGGCGAGGGCACATCTTGGCCTAATTTGGAAATGATGCTCTTCTTTTAAACAACACATTTAGTGGGAAGATTTACATACATACCATTTAATTCGTTTGTGTCAATTAGTAAGGACAGAAAACAGTCAGCTAAATTAGGAGTTTTCTATAATTAGAAGTTTCCTTATTTAAATTATTTCTAATGTCTTTGTTCTGATTTATTTTCCTTTTAGCCGAATATTTCGATCGAGAATATGTATTATTAAGTTACCTAAAATAGATTATGCACTTTATTTCGTACATAAAATAAATTGTAAGATTATTATTTAATGGAATGAAACCAAAGGGAAAATACATCGAGCCTATTCATAATTTAGCTTATTTTTCTCGAAACATTGACATGGTATCAGAGCTAGAATCGTGTGAATCCTTAAGCAGTAGCCCTAGCTGCGATATCTTCGTCGCGACATCTTCGACATCTTCATTTGCATCTGCTTCGTTCGCCTGCGCAACTTCGCGTTTGCTTCTGCTACGTTCCCCTGCGTTCGTCTGCGCCTGTTTCTGCTTTGTTCGCGACATCTTCGACAGCTTTGTTCGTCTGCATCTATTTCGTTCGCGCAAAACTTCGCGTCTTCTCTATCCTAGCTGCGCCACTTCATCACTTCGCTCTATTTCGTCGCGTCGTCTTTGCCCTAGCTGCGACTCTCTTCGTCAAGGGACATAGCCGCAATCTCCTCTACTCCCTTATGCTCTTCTCGTCAACATGCGATCTCCTCGTCAAGGGACATCCTCTTCTTCCCGCGTCTTTGCCCTAGCTATGACTCTCCTCGTCAACCGTCGTCTCTGCCTTAGCTGCGGCTCTCCTCTCTCGCACCGACCTTAGAGCTCTGGTCCTGTCCTACTCGAAATCTTTGAGGAAGGTACATGTTTGAGCAGCTGCTGATATTCACAAGAGGCGGACTCATCTTATGGAATTGCAAGGAGCTCAACAACGCCATCAGGGGATCTCCAATCATGCTTTCCTTTTAAGCTTTTTGCCACCTCGAGTTGCGGCGCTGGTCTGGTTTCTTCTTCTTATTCTTCTCTGCTCTTCTCGTGAAGAACATGGTGGAAAAGAAGAAGTATGTCTTGAAGAATATCAGACTTGATCGACAGACAGATAGATGTCGCAGGTCTGCTCGCAAGGAGATGGAACTTATTCTAAAGTAAAAAATTCATTTATTGTGGAATACAAGGATTCTTGGGTTTAAAGTGGTTGGGTTGCTAAAGTGGTTGTTATGCTTGTATTATTATTCGTTCAATTTGGATCTTCTTTATTAGGCATCGCTGCTTCTGTGGCATCTTCTACTACTTCTTACGCTTCGCTTTGTCCGCTTCGGCTTCGGCTTCGGCGCTCCTTCCTGATCGATGGCTTCAAACCATAGATCTTAGGCT